TTTGAATATCTGATTTTTTTTATTAAATTTTTTTTTTTGAAAATTTAGATTTTTTTTAATTTTAATTTTATCGAAAATTTTGATTTTTTTTTGGAAATTTAAAATTCTTTTTGAAAAATTTGGCGTTGAAACTTGTTTTAGACAAATAAAAATTTATAAATATAATTTCAATCCGAATTTAATCCCGATTTTTTGTGCACTACAGCTGCTTTTAGTTTATTCAAAAATGCATCCACGGTAACGCAGATTCTTAATTTTTTGAATATTTTTTACTAGCTTAAATAGTAGTTATTATTATTAGTGATGGTAACTGCAACCATCAGGTTATACTAGGAATTACCATTTTGATAATAGTAGTAACTAATTAAAATAATAACAGTTATTATTACTGATTACCATCATAATGGTAGTAGTTACCATCAGGATGGTAAATACTACAATTCAGATGGTTTATTCAACTATTTAAATAATATTTACTACTATCGAATTCAGTTAATAGATTTTACCATAACCAGATAATAAACTCTACTATAATATTTTCTCGGTGTAACTTTTATTCTACCTCTATACACATCTACTGAATATATTTTTACATAAGTAGGTAAATATACAATAATATATGTACATATATATGATCCATATATGTAAAATATATAGCTAATATAAGCCACATATATACATAGATATGAACAGGCATGATCAAACCTGAGCGTATTTAACCCTTCAGACATGGACAGCCATGAACAGGCCTGATCAGACCTGAGTGTATTCAACCCTTCAGACATGGACAGGCCTGATCAGGTCTGAGCGTATTTGACTCTTTAGGCATGAGCAGACATGGACAGGCATGATCATGTCTAATTTCAGGTCCGATCATACATGAACAAGCATGGTCAGATCTGATCATTTTTTCCCGGGGTAAGAAAATATTTGTAGATGAAGAACAAAAAAACTTATTATTAAAATGTCATTGTTGTAAGAAATATCATCACTAAACAACAAGAGAATAGATAAATATTTACAATAATACAATCCTGAAAGTTAGAATCAATTCAAAAGCTCTGAATTACACAAATGTACGTAGGCAATGAGTTGATCATCATTCATTTTAATGATCATGACTTTTTGCGCTACCATTTTAGAACTGATTGCACTAATGGTATGTAGTTTATCATTTAATGATATTAATTGGTCGAGTCGTCTATTTTTTAAGAACGATTCCTTTTTTGAAGAATAATAGTTTCCAATCAAATAACTTTCTACGTCATTATTATTTTTTAAGCCTACGAAACACTTAATTTCGAAGATTTGACCATTCTTTAGAAGTACTGTGTAGTTTGTACGTTTTTTCTCGCGCTTGTAGATTTTGCTAGTAATTATTTCTTGATTAATAATGCATCTTCGGTACTTGTAGATCGTATAGGTTGAGTCAAGCTTTATATCCAAACGTTGAAGTGCTCGTCTCTGATCTTGAGGGAGTTTAGTTACAATTTTAGACTTTCCTAACACCTTACAATTTCTTAACACCAATGTCGAGGCTGGTTTTGAATTTTTATTGCGAAGACCATCAAAAAATTTTTTTTGTTGAGGAGTTAAATCATTCTGGCACAGATTGTAAAGTCTATCAATTGTACACTTCAATCTAAACGAGTCGCAAATCTGGATTGATACTCCGTTAGGACTGTTGACAGAGTTTTCAATCAGTTGGTTAAAATCTTCATAGATGAATGCACTGTGGGTAAACAGAGGTCCCCAATTCTCAACACTCTCAGCCAAATGTGCCAAAAGATGAACATTAAAGGAAAGATACTTCTCTCCATACAGTGACTCGACTTCGCGGATGAATTCCTTCAAGCATTGATCAGCATAAACCAACTCTGACTTCATTATTGATTTCTTGGTTAGAATTGAAATGCCGTCAACTAACAAAGCCCAATGCTTAACGAATTTAATAGGAAAGCACATTTTCATGACAGGTAAACTGTAAGCAAGAAGGAAAACTACCCATTCATGAGTTTTCATATGAACTCGATCCTTTAGACCTTTTGGTATTCTTGTGAAATCACTCGTTGGTGAAAGGGACAATATAAGGGCATCAAATTGATCTATAATGTCTCCAAAATAGAACTTTTTATTAGAGTTTGTTGAATCAAACCACAGATTCGCGAATTGCCGAGAAACACCCAGTGCAACGCAGTGCATCCAGTCTACATCGAGGTTTTTAACAATGTCGTAGTTTGGTATGTCGCATAGAGCTGACTTTCTTTTAATCCCTTTTTTGTCTTCCTTAGTTTTTGCTTCAGCATGAATCAATGTTTGTTCATGACTTCGCAGCCCTTCACCAAAAAATTCGCCGTTGACGACAGGATACACTCGAGCAAATCCACGGCCTTTTGCGATCGACTTACCCGGATGAAGGCATAACCCACACCCATACTCCCCATTAAACTGTTTTGTACACTGTACGAGGGGCCGAGCAACAGAGTCACAAATGCCTATCAAAATAATAACTTTTTTGGCGTATGTTTGACCTTTGAATGTGTACGTCAATCCTTCTTTCAGCAGTTCTTTGGCTTCATTGACGAAAGGAGTTAAGTAAGCGTTCATATTCTTGGGCTTTCCATTTCCAAACCAAATACTGGACATCATAATGTGATTCTTCCGATCAGAAGGACTTAACTCATTCAGGGTGCAAAGGACAGGATATGCAGACGTGTTTGAGCTTTCAAAAATAGGCGCACCATCAACGTTGAAATTTATGGAGATCATATCATCACTCGTCATGACTTTTTTGTACGCTTTACCGTCGTAAATGTCTTCAATAGCATACTTACATTGTTTTGTACGATTTTGTCAGTATAATTCGTGAGCATTAGTCGTTTCAAAAATTTCTCGTAATTGGTCAGCCAAGGGTAAGTATAAAAATGAACCATTATTAGATTTTAGATCGATTTTTGAATGACAATTGCGGCAGCTCACTTGAAGGTCACTTGTTGTGCCATAATAATGATGACATTTTTTACAAATAAAATGAGTGGAGACATTTTGAGAATAACGATCAATCAGCAGTTTCCAATAATACTTCGACGTTTTTGGCGTAGTTGTTGCACATGATATATTTACAAGATTTAAAATATCTTGAGCAACAGCGTAGGTGGTGTTCCGTCGCCATTTAATCGCCATGACTAGAAGATTATTAATCAGCTGACTTTTCAGAATTTCCTTTTTATATGTAGGTGGAATAGTTTTATCGATGATCTGCGATGTATTTAGGGCGTCATGATTAGTTGGAAAACTTTCATTTTGAATATCATTAATTGTATCTCTGGGAGCCGAATCGGGGCAATCCTTCAAAACAATAAAACCATGACATTAATACACAAAGAAAATTAAGGAATGGAATCTATAATGCTAATATATTTTTATTTCCAATCAGCTAAAATGATTTTAATATTTTCCAAATTTACAATGATTCATTTTATACTTTTTATAATAACATTTATAACCGGAGAATGATAAACGCCACTGTGGGAGTGGTAATTTTTACTATCACGAATCAAAATCTGTATTTTCTAATTCTTATGAAGACCTAAAGAATTTAGCGATGTTACATAAAGATAATGTCGGTAAAACCCTCCTAAAACCGTACTGAATTTGTCCACAGGCATCCTAAAAGCTCCTAGATCCTCCTAAAGCCATCCTTTACCCTCCTAGATTCTCCTAAGGCCATCCTCAACCTTCGTAAATCCGTCTCAGGCCATCCTTAACCCTTCTAAACGCTTTGAATTCATCTTTAAATCTTTTCAACCCTCTTAATCCATCCTTAACCCTCCTAGATCTTCCTAAATACATTCTTAACCCTCCTAGATCCTCTTGAGGCCATTCTTATCCTTCTTAGATCCTTATAAGGCCACCCTTGATCCCTCTATGTCCTTCTTTCACCCTAAACCCTCCTAATCCATCCTCATCCCTTCTAGATCCTTGTAAAGTCATCCTCACACCTCCTAGATTCTCCTAAGGCCATCCTCAACCGTCTTAGATCCTCCTAAAGCCATCCTTTATCCTTCTAGATTCTCCTAAGCCATCCTCAACCTTCTAAGATCCATCAAAGGCTATCCTTAACCCTTCTAAACGCTTCGAACCCATGTTTGACTCTTTTCAACCGTCTTTTTTTTTTTTTTTTTTTTTTTTTTTTGCGGCTGTGGCCGGCTTACAGTCTGTACCCGCATTTGCCTGTGCCCCGCTTATTTTAGGGGCACAATGACCGAGGAAAAACCACAGAAACCTGGCCAAGGTACAGTCGGCAAGGGAGCAAGCCCCGGAAATCGCAGAAGAAAAATTGCAATTGCCAGGGCTCGAACCCACGCCTGAGCGACTGCTGTGCGGCAGTTTAAGACTTAAACCACTCGGCCAAGCAGTCGCCTTAATCCATCCTTAACCCTCCTAGATCCTTCTAAGGCCATTTTTAACCTTTCTTGCTTTTCCTAAGGCCATTTTTAACCCCCCTAGATCCTCCTGAGGTCATTCTTAACCATCCTATATCCTCCTCAGGCCATCCTCAATCTTATAAACCCTTCTAATTCATCTTTAACCCTTCTAAATTCTCCTAATATATCCTCATTCCTCCTAGACCCTTGTCAAGCCATTCTTAATCCTCCTAGATCCTCCTAGGGTCATTTCCAGCCCTCTTAGATCCTCCTGAGGCCATTCTTAACCCCCCTAGATTCTCCTGAGACCATTCTTAATCATCCTATATCCTCCTCAGGCCATCCTCAATCCTTATAAGCCCTTCTAATCCATCTTTCACCCTTCTAAATTCTTCTAATATATTTCCACCCCTCCTAGACCCTTGTAAAGCCATTCTTAACCCTCCTAGATCCTCCTAAAGCCATCACCAGCCCTCTTAGATCCTCCTAAAGCCATCCTTAACCCTCCATGATCCTTATAAGACCACCCTTAACTCTCCCTAATCCTAAGGTCATTCTTAACCATCTTCAATCCTCCTCAGGCCATCCTAACCCTTCTAAACCCTCCTTATCCATCCTCAGCTCTCATAGATCTTCTTAAGACCATCTTTAACCCTCCTAGATTCTCTGCGAGCTATTCTAAACCCTCTTTGATGCTCCTAAGGCCATCTTTAATCTTCCTATATCCTCCTCAGGCCATTCTCAACCCTTATAAACCGTTCTAATCCATCATTGACCCTTCTAAATTCTCCTAATATATTCCCATCCTTTCTAGACCCTTGTAAAGCCATCCTTAACCCTCCTAGATCTTTCTAAGGCCATCCCCAACCCTCTTATATCCTCCTAAGGCCATCCTAAGCCCTCCTAGATCCCCGCAGGCTATTCTAAACCCTTCTAGATCCTCCTAAGGCCATTCTAAACCCTCTTTGATCCTCCTAGGGCTATACTTAACCCTTCTAGATCCTCGTCAGGCCATCCTTAACCCTTTTAATAACAGTAAATGTTAATTAAGCTAAAACAAATTTACAGTAAACCATGTACTGTTAGTAAATTAATACCGATTTCCAAGTTCTTACTTCAAATATTTTGTCATCAACCCTGTTGTCATCAGAAATATTCATAAGACTTTCACTGTCATTGTTATTAACGCACATATCCGAAATTTCTATTTGAACGCTGTTTATAAGCTTGGAGGAAAGAGACTTATCATCATGAGAGACTTGATTTAACCTAAATTATACGAAAAAGTTTTTTTTTTATTAATAATTGTTCAATTTTTTTTAATCTAAAATAACATATTGTATGTCCCAGATGCAAAAACGAGGAGATAATACTCTACTGGTACATAAAAATAAAGTTTTTTAACATCTTTTAATAACATAAACTTACTGGCGAGCTAAATGCTTTTTTTTCCAATCATATCTTGTCCTCACCGGAATTTTTTTGCTGTTATTTAAAAGATTATATTGTTTGTATGGACCTCGGGAATTTTTTCCCTTTATTTTACCCATATTTATTTTAAAATTTTATAATTTTATAAATATTTCTATTGATTGCCGATAAAAGAAGTTTCATGAAAATATTGCTCATTTATCAAATTCAATAAAGAACTTAGGTCAGGTTATTGAATAAAAAAAGTGACGCTCGATATTATCAACTATAAAAATAATCAAACTGTCAGTAGATATTTTTAATATTCGTACTCTTTACATTTTCTTTCAATTTATTAATTAATCAACAGACTCGATAGAGTCTGGCGCCAAGTTCCGTTCTCAAGCCAGACTACCGAGTGTGTATATATACCGTAAACAGAACGGTTTTTTGAGGTTACAAATTTTTTTTCTAATTTATTTTGATTTTTTTTTATATGATATTTTATAATAGTAATTCATGCTTTTTATTACGCGTATTACTTAATTATTATCAATTTATCTTTATAATTTCTATTTAAAATTATTAAAAATAATCAGCACAAACTATAGCGACCCAGATTTTTAGATTTTAACTTTTTTCTTATGTAAAAAGCGGACGGCCAGAGACTAAATAATATAAGGATGCATGCTAATCTTATAATAGATAGAAAACTAGAACAAATATAAATAACAAATATAACAAACACAAAATCATACAAGAAGAAGTTAACGCCTTATGGAAAAGATTAAAAAATAATGATAACGTTGAAGATGAGACAGAATCAAAAATTAAAGAATTACAAGTGAAATTGACCAAAAAAAAGGGGACACTTTTGAGTTTTTTCTCAAAGAATTCTTCTTCATCAAAGGCATTAGCACTAGTAAAGCCACAAGACAGTAAAGTAAGTTCAAAATTTATAATACAACTAATTAGGTTAAATCAGTTAAACATCTTTAATTTAGATTATTATAAAATAGTCCGTAATTACATATATCTTTCTATCTCTGTTTGTTCGAAGTTTTGCTTGATATTTAATACTCGGGGTTGCTACTTTTATTTAATATATTACATGTTTACTTTTCATTACAGAAGGACACTAAACTGAGTAATTCAGAAGAAATTAAAAATTTTCCTTTGGGCGACCGAAAATTTACTTGAGCCAAGAATTTTGTTCTCCAGTCAAGAAATTTTTCTTTCTGTGTAGTTTTCCTCTCGTACGTACGGAAATTGATGCAATGTAGTTTTCCTGCCATAAGAAAAGAACTCCTGCGAACACTACTAAGTCGGCTGAAGTTAGGCTAAAATATTATTTTTTATAAGAAAACTGCTGATTTTACGGACCAATGAATCTATAGATTTATTTAAATCTTAATACTAAGTACGTATTTCTTATATATTTATATAATCTTTGATTTATATGTTCATTGTATTGTCTGCTATATATTTTTCCATTATATTTTTAACATATATTTTCTTATATGTTGAAAAAATATAAAAAATTATATTGAGTGCAATACAAGTAACAATTATAATTCTATTACATATACTTAACTATAATTTTTCGAATATATTATTTAATGTAAAGAAATTATAAAATAACATACATAAAACATATATTACAAACAATATATAAACATCTATTAAATCAGCGAAAATAGGTATATTGTTACATACATGATATCATATAAGTAGAAATATAAAAAAATGAGTGTAAAATCTAATTTTCTATATATTTTACTCATATATGTTATTTTCATACGGGTAGACGTTCCAGTAGGCTAGCAGCGAAAAAACATACTTCCTTCAAGCTACCTCATTTTGCTACCACCTATATGGAACACTCCTTCTTGATATCCATGATTTGTCTGTGGGAAGAACTACCAGAAGAAATTGTAAACTCAAGTAGCAGTGAAGTCTTCAAAATTAAAGTTTTTGACTATTTGCTAAATTTAGACAGTTAATAAATTCAAAAATTGATAGATCAAATTGGTTGATTACAGCACTTGTATACTAATTAAAAAATTCTAATTGAAAGTTTCTATTTAAAAGTTTTTTGAAAGAAAGTAAATTTGAAATATTATTTTTGCAATATTATTCTAAAATTTAGGTTAAGAACTATGTACTTACATTTGATATTATTATTTTTAAGATGTAAATATTTTGTATTTATGTTGCCATTTAGCCTGTGCCTTGGCATGAATAAATTAATCAATCAATCAATCAATCAATCTTTCTACCCCAAAACCTGTGCATCCTTCCCAAACATGTTCCCAGGATTCTTCCTCACAGCCACAAATCTCGCATCTCCTATTTTCCCTATTCTCCCAGTACCAGCCGCCCTTTAGTCCATCTCCTAACCTAAAATTTGCCACCCTTTTCCATCTATCCTCCGACCACCCTCTACACAGATATCCGGGAATTCCTTGTTTTTTAAAAATTTATAATCTTTATTACTCCTAGATTCTAGAACCCGATTCCATCGCTCCCTCTCTTGTCTCCTTCTTTCTGAACTAACCATTTCATCTCCTCTCATTAATCTTTTTTCCCATTTCCTTTCTATATCTTTCTTCTCCCACCCTCTAGTTTCAAAAAATTGTTTCTCTCTGCTTTCCAGCCCTCTAATCCACTTCCCGCGTTTATCCTTTTTTTCATTTCCATTTTACACCTCCATGGTAGCAGCCCCCCTCCTCCTTCTCCTATTCTTTTTTCATAACTCCATGCTCTCAACCCTGCCCTACCTTCCAGTAAATCCCTTTGCAGCTCTTCCCTCACCAGATATCCTGCTTCTCTCCTTGATACCCCCAGAACTCACCTTAAGTACCTTTCCTCTAGTTTCTCCATCTCTTCCCTGCCCTTCCATCCCCAAATCTCTACTCCGTAGCTGATCACTGACCATATCAGTTTATCAAATAACCACAGCCTTCTGCCCCAGTCTTTTCCAAACTTCCTCTTTCCTATTCCCCAAACTTGTCCCATAATCCTAGCACCTTTCTTGACTCTTTCTTTTACATGCTCTCCTTGATCTCCATTGGCCTTTATTACATACCCCAGATATATATATTTATTCACCTCTTCAATTTCTTCGCCTTGCCACATCTACGTCACTTTCTTTCTCCTCCCACCTTCCTTCCTGCACCTCATAACTTTTGTCTTTTTCACGTTCACTTCTAATCCCTTCTTCTCCACATACCTCTCCAGAGTTCTAATCATTCTTCTCATTTCGTCATCGTCTTTCGCCAGCAGAGCAACATCATCTGCCAGTGAGTATATCTTCTTGCCCCCCATCAACTCTACCCCTCCCCATCTTCCTTTTTCCAGCTCTTCATCCAGGTCTACCATAAATATTACAAATAGCGGCGGACTCAGCGGACATCCCTGTCTCACACCTTTCTCCGTCCAAAATTTTCTTCCACTATCCTTTCCAACTCTGACTTTTCCCCATGTCTTCTTTAATACCTCTTCGCATCTCTTCACTAACCCTTCCCTAACTCCTCTCTTTCTCAGCGCTCTGCACAACTTTCCTCTGTCCACCGAATCAAACGCTGCTTTAAAATCCACGTAAAGAACTATCGTTTTGCCTTTCTTTTTTGTTATTTCTCTATTGATCAGATAGTTCAATACGTAGATATTATCCATCGTTCCCCTTCCTCTTCTGAATCCAGCCTGACTCTCTGGTAGCAGCCCCATTTTCTCAACATCTATCGTCATCCTTTTTTCAAGTATTCCTACGTAGACCTTGTACGCCGTCTGCGTTAAAGTGACTCCTCTGTATTCCTCTACTTTTCTTCCCTCCCCTTTTTTTACAATAGATACCACTACCCCTTCTTTCCAATCTTTTGGCCAACCCTTTCCCCTCCATACCCTTTGACATATTCTCCATAATTCCATTTCTATCTTCTCACCTCCATATTTCCACGCCTCATTCGGCATTCCATCTTCTCCCATTGTTTTATTATCCTTCAAACTTTTCACTGTTTCCCTTATCTCCTCTAGCGATATCCCCTTTCTCCTCCTCCATCTCGTCTCTCGCATCTCTTTCCTCCTCCACTCTCCTACTTTTCCTCTCTTCTGTCCCTCCAAGCAGCTTTTTAAAGTAAACGTCTCATTCTTTTATATCCACAGATTCGGTAGAATCTGAAGCCAAGTTCCGTTCAAATCGGTTGTCAACGGAGCGCTAGACTACCGACTGTGTTTACTGTAAGCAGAACGGTATTTTGAGGTTGCAAAATTTTATTTAATTCTACGGTACTTTTTTTTCCTAAATTGTATATTATAACAGTTATTCATACTTTATTTTACTGTTATTAATTAATTATATTCACTTCTAACAATTAATCTACTTGAAATTACTAAATTTAATCAGCACAATCTATAGCAACGCAAAAATTTCGATCCTGACTTTTTTTCGATGGGCAAAGTGATCTGCCACAGACTAAATAATTCGAGAATGCATAGTAATCCTTCATTAGATGGGAAACTACAGTTAAAAAAAGATATTTCACAGCCTGCATCTACACCCACCAGGGTACGCTGGAATTATTTTTACATAATCTGTAGCTTCAAGGGAATAGTTTGCTATAAAAAATGCAGCCAACGCGAGATTTAAGTTGGTACCAACTGTAAATTTTTATTATAATTACAAAAAATACTAAAATTCGAACAAAAACAGTTTCACTGTAAAAAAATCGCGCCAAGTCCACGTTCATAAGACTATTAAGAAAAAAAAATTAGTTTTTTTCTTTACAAAAAGATATTAAATAAAAAAATTAAAAAATCCAAGTAACCGATATGATTGCTTATGATTTTCGGAAATTAAAAAAAATTTTGCTGTAAATTTAAAAATTAAAAAAACAATTTTGGAACGTACTTGGTGTGCGTCATATTGTGTATTTCAATTTTTTTAAAGTCCTAGTAAATAGATTTTACGAATTTAATTAAAAGTAAAATATTTTGCAACCGCGCACACTAAATACGTATCACAGCATTATTTATATATGTTAAAAATGCTAACCGTAAGATGGACGGTGTGGCTTAATGTATATAGAATAAGTGAAAGGAAATTTAGTATAGACCGGATAGCTCAAATGGTAGAGTAGCC